TAAGAGGGCAATAGCTTTTTGAATTTAACCCGCACCATAAAACAGGGTGTAAATCGAACAGAGTGTTGGATTTGTATTCATATCCCCACAGATTTGGGTCAGGGGGTCGCGTTGGTAGGGGTACCTATCCCTCTTAATCGAACACTCCAAGCTAAGCTATGGGCAAACACTACATTTAACTGGAATGTTATGATCCAAAGATGGTCGATTGATATGGTGGCCCAAGGTAATTATGCTTTATGTGTGTCACGACGTAAGGGCAGGGAAAATACAGTTTTTGTGGGGAATTTTGTGGGGTGCAAGGACACCACCCAGATGAGCTCTGGTGTGGCAAGCCCCTCCACCTACTCTGGGGCCCCGTGGCCAGTCCCTGAGGGGGCTGGCTGGTATTGGTTATGCAATCACACAGCCTATAAGGTTCTCCCGGCAGGATGGTATGGTACATGTACCTTCGGGGCTATAGTACCCGCCGTGACAGTACACCAGACCCTGACCCGGGGAGAGATCCGCAATCTAGTATGGAGAAACCGACGAAGTATTCCTTTAAACCCTCTTTCTCAACGGCCCACAGGCTTTCACTCCTTTGTGCGATGGTTTCTGCCACGGTTAGGAGTAAGCGAGCTAGAAAAAGCCATCGTTAACATTCCAGCTGCTTTGGAATTAATGGCAAATGCCACTGCAGACGCCTTAGCTGCCCTTCAAATTGAAGTCACTCAGCTATCCCAAACTACACTGCAAAACCGCTTAGCCCTGGACTATCTCCTTGCAAACCAGGGCGGGGTTTGTGCTCTGGTTAACGCAAGCTGTTGTGTATTTGTAAATCAGCACCACAGGGTGGAAACTGACATCCACATCCTCATGCAGCAGGCAGCCCTATTCCACCACGCCAGCCTCGACAATACCAGCGCTGGGTTCCAGGAGGCCTGTAACTGGCTCACCTCATGGCTACCGGATGTGGGGGCTTGGGGACGGCGTATTTTGTATTTCATCCTTTTGGCTGTTATTGCTTTTGTGTTATTGTTTGTATGCCTACAATGTTACAGTCTATGCTGTCGGCAACTGCTAACCCTGCATCGCGTTACTCAGCCCCGATATAGCTGACTGACGTAGAAAAGAAAAGGGGGGACTGTTAAGGAAAAGTTAGCATATGTGACTCCATTTAGGTTTGGGGCCCACCATTGTCTAAGAGCAAGCACATCATGCACCAGGAGGAGTGTTCCTTAGATACTGCATTCCTGTGAACCCCCCCTTGTTTCCAGCCTGTCTCGACTCCCGGTTTCTGTTCTTTGTCTGTTCCTAACTCCCTGCCTCCTGGCCTTTTGCTGTGGGCCTCCCATCCTGATAAGAAAAGTTACTGATGCATTGCTTTAGGGCCACGTTGTGTAGTTGAAGTAATGGTTTAGCATGGGGAATTACCTAGCAGGAATAGGAGGTAGATAAGGAAAGGGTTTGTCTCTTGGCTAAGGTTTCCAATGCACGAGGGCAACATGCTTTGCTAAAAGGTAAAAAATCTTTGTATAACCTGCATTCGGGGTCCCCTTCTGACTAGCAGGGGGGCACCACGCTCGAGCGTAATAAACTTAATGTTTTTGGGAACTCTGCAGTTGTGGACTTTGGTTCGTGTGCTCAGCCTAGACTCGAACTGCACGTGACCTATCAGGTATAATTCACAACACTATACCAAAAACCCACCGACCGCTACACGTACCTTCATGCCTCCAGCTTCCATCCCAGACACACCACACGATCCATTGTCTACAGCTAAGCGCTGAGGTACAACCGCATTTGCTCCAGCCCCTCAGACAGAGACCATCACCTACAAGATCTTCACCAAGCATTCTCAAAACTATGATACCTGCACGAGGAAATAAGGAAACAGATCAACAGAGCCAGATGCGTACCCACAAGCCTCCTGCTGCAAGACAAGCCCAGGAAAGAAACCAACAGAACTCCACTGGCCATCACATACAGTCCTCAGCTAAAACCTCTCCAACGCATCATCAGTGATCTACAACCCATCCTGGACAACGATCCCCCACTTTCACAGGCCTTGGGAGGCAGGCCAGTCCTCCCCCACAGACAACCCGCCAACCTGAAGCATATTCTCGCCAGCAACTACACACCGCACCATAGTAACTCTAACTCAGGAACCAATCCATGCAACAAACCTCGATGCCAACTCTGCCCACATATCTACACCAGCAACACCATCACAGGACCTAACCCGATCAGCCACACCATCACCGGTGCATTCACCTGCACGTCCACCAATGTCATCTACGCCATCATGTGCCAGCAATGCCCCTCTGCTATGTACATCGGCCAGACTGGACAGTCCCTACGTAAAAGGATAAATGGACACAAATCAGATATTAGGAATGGCAATATACAAAACCCTGTAGGAGAACACTTCAACCTCCCTGGGCACACAATAGCAGATTTCAAGGCAGCCATTCTGCAGCAAAAAAACTTCAGGACCAGACTTCAACGAGAAACTGCTGAACTTCAGTTCACTTGCAAATTGGACACCATCAGCTGAGGGTTAAACACAGACTGGGACTGGCTCGCCAGCTACAAAAGCAGTTTCTCCTCCCTTGGTGTTCACACCTCCACTGCTAGAAGAGGGCCTCATCCTCCCTGATTGCACTAGCCTCGTTATCCCTAGCCTGATTCTTGCTTGCATATTTATACCTGCCTCTGGAAATTTCCACTACATGAATCCGATGACGTGGGGATTGTTAGGATATAGATATTCAGGCCTGTCTGTAAAGGCCTATACTCTAAGAATTTAGGTGTATTCCTATCACTTGGCTAGTTAGAGGTATAAAAGAAAGAATCAAAATCACTGTCTGCCAGTGTAAGGGCCTTCTCTTACTGTGACAGTCTGAGGCCCTGTTCTTAGGCTAAGGCCTTTGGCTAAGCGACAGAGGCAGCCATAAGCTGGGAAGTGAATGGTCACATCCTCACATTCCAAACTAGTCACATTGAAATAAGGTGCTATTGGGCTGTTAGGAATTTAATCCTGTCCTTATTGTGCCTATCACCTCCAGAGAAAGGGAAGTGCCTAGAAGCTGTAAAAGGAAATTGAGGTTGATAGTTTTCTGTCCGGTAAGAATTCACTTATCAATAGACACAGCTGGGAAACTCTTATGTCTTTACAGATGTAGTTGTGAAATCCTCACTTCTGTATTGTTTTGTCATTATAGTTCCCACTTTGCTATTGTTTATTGGCATGGTCTCTGTCTGGTTCTGTGATTGCTTCTGTCTGCTGTATAATTAATTTTGCTGGGTGTAAACTAATTAAGGTGGTGGGATATAATTGGTTAGCTAATCCATGTTAGGATTGGTTAGTTAAATTTTAGTAGAATGATTGGTTAATGTATAGCTAAGAATATTACTATATAAATTAGGGGCAAACAGGAAGTAAGTTGGGATTCGAAAATAAGGAAAAAGGAACTTGTATTTAGCTTGCTGGAAGTTCACCCCAATAAACATCGAATTGTTTGCACCTTCGGACTTCGGGTATTGTTGCTCTCTGTTCATGCGAGAAGAACCAGGGAAGTGGGAGAATGAAGGAATAAGCTCTCTAACAGGGATTCACCCACGAAAGCTTCTGCTCCAACACATCTGTTAGTCTATAAGGTGCCACAGGACTCTGCCGCTTTTACAGATCCAGACTAACACAGCTACCCCTCTGATCATTGCTGTATGTGTTACTGAAATATGTTGTGGGGTTCGGAACACCCACAACCAGACTTTCAGTTGCAACAAAAGAGTAGCCATCAATAGCCAAACGGGCATTAACAGCTAATCAACACCCAATCCACTATGCCAGAGACTTCTCAGAGAAGGCAGTGCCCTGGGTGCTGACTAACACACATCAAAGCAAGGATCTTTCTTACAGCTGGAAGAAAGTCTAAAAAGAGGGAGAGTGACATAATCACTTGGCCTCTCCCCCCTCCCCATCCCCTCAACACCTGGAAGCACATCTGGAAGACAAACACTTTGAACTAGGGAAGTAAAAACCGTGTAAAAACAGTAACTGTGTTACCCATCAGAATTCTGTTGGTTACATGGTTAAACTCGGGGACATAAGAGTGCAGGAGTGTATGGGGGGGTGCCCCCATGTCCGGGGTCCCCGCTGTCAGCCCCATGGCAGAGGCTCTGCTGCCGGCAGGCATCCTGGCGCACCTGGGGTTCCGGCTACTGCTGCACCTGGCGCTCTGCTGCCATCCAGCATCCCTGCTTGCCCGGGGTCCTGGCTGCCAGCCTGTGAGCGAGGTTCTGGTTACCACCATGCCTGGGGCTCTACTACCACCTGGCATCCTGGCGTGCTTGGGATCCCGGCTGCTGGCCCCATGCTTGGGGATCCCGGCTGCCGGCCTATCCCTGGGGTTCCAGCTGCCACGGCACCTGGGACTGTCCTGCCACCCGGCATCGCGGTGCACACAGGATCCCGGCTGCCGGCCTCTCGCCCAGGGGCTCTGCTCAGGGGTGGCAGGTTTATATAATTTTTGGTGATGTCCAGAATGGGTCCAAGTCCTGCCCCTGGCAATGCTCTGGGAGGGAGTTTGGGTGCAGGAGGGGTGCGGGCTCTGGGGCAGAGTTTGGGTGCTGGGTGCAGGCTCTGGGCTGGGGCAGGGGGTTGGGGTGCGGGAGGGGGTGTGGAGCTGGGCCAGGGATGGGGAGTTTGGGGTGCAGCAGGCAGGATGCCCCGGGGCTGGGGCAGGGGGCCAGAGAGGAGGCCTCCCCCCATCCCTCTCGCCGCCGGCAGCAGCGAGCTCCAGGGGAGGGGGCTCCGCCCCGGCCCCCCCGCCCGACACTCACCCAAGCCCCCCCAGACTGCTGCTCAGGGAGGTCCAGCCAGGTCCAAGTGTGTGCGGGGGGCGGGCGGCTGCCATGTGCCTCCTCCCCCTCTCCCCCGCAGGCGCAGCCCCCGCCTCCGCCTGCCCCGGCGGCCGGGCAGGGAGCGCAGCGCGGAGCTGCAGGGGGCGGCAGGCGGGGCCGCGGGGCGGACCCGGCCCGTACGTCGGTGTAGCCGGGCCCCAGGTCCTGGTTTTGCTGGAGCCCGGCACCGCCGGTCCGCGCCTGTGACGCCCCTGGCGGCGGGGAAGGGAGTTGTCGCTGCTGAACTTCGCTGGGTTTCCCCGCGGGTGTTTCCTGCAGAGCTGCCGGCCCGTCCCCTCCCCTCCAGGACGATGGCTCCTTGGGCCAGGCTTGCCTTGGTCTCCTGCTGGATCCTGTCTCTCTGCTCTGCCACCTTGGCTGGTAGGTGACTCCTGCTCTGCCAGATGCGGGGTCCCATCCCCATCCCCATCCGGGTCTCTTTCCCCAGGGCTGGGGGCTGCGGGGGCTGCAGGTCGCTGTCCCAGATGCCGGGGTCCCATCCCCATCCGGGTCTCTTTCCCCAGGGCTGGGGGCTTCAGGGGCCCCTTGGGTCGCTGTCCCAGAGGCCGGGGTCCCATCCCCATCCGGGTCTCTTTCCCCAGGGCTGGGGGCTGCAGGGCCCCCTCGGGTCGCTGACCCAGATACTGGGGTCCCATCCCCATCCGGGTCTCTTTCCCCAGGGCTGGGGGCTGCAGGGGCCCCTTGGGTCGCTGACCCAGAGGCCGGGGTCCCATCCCCATCCCAGTCTCTTTCCCCAGGGCTGGGGCCTGCAGGGTCCCCTTGGGTTGCTGTCCCAGATGCTGGGGTCCCATCCCCATCCCAGTCTCTTTCACAAGGGCTGGGGGCTGCAGGGTCCCCTTGGGTCGCTGTCTCAGATGTCTGGGTCCCATCCCCATCCCAGTCTCTTTCCCCAGGGCAGGGTGCTGCAGGGCCCCCTTGGGTTGCCGTCCCAGATGTCTGGGTCCCATTCCCATTGAAGTCTCTCTCCTTCCTACAGGGGTTCACCATCTCTCCCACCTCCAGCTCATCTCCCCCTGGGCGGCCCCTGGTCTGCCCAAGCGGCTGTATGTGGTGAGGATGAATGACCTGGTGCTCTCAACCTATGACAGCAACACCCGCAGGCTGGCTCCCCGCAGTGGCTACACCCCGGCCAACCAGGAGTTCTGGAGTGCAGGCAATGCTGCATGCATGGTCTGGGACTCCTGGGTAGAGATCAAGTACCAGGCCCTGGTGCAGGAGGTGAACACCAGTTCCCCACAGGCAGGTGAGTCCTTGAGCCCCAGCGCTTGGCTTTGGAAAGGGATGGGCAGGCAGCTCAAAGGAGGTAGGAGGGAGCTGGGGGAAGGGTACACCAGAGGGGAGTGACTTCCCTGATACCTAGTGTTTAGAGTGGGGGAGGGGGCTTGGATTCTGGACTCCTGGGTTCTCTCCCTGAGTGTAGGAGGCAGCAGAGTTTAGTGGGTTAGAGCAGGGCATGCTGGGAGTCAGGACTCCTGGGTTCTAGGCATGAGAACTTCTCCCCCACTCTGGCCCCAGGTGTCAGCTCTGTGCTCAGTCGCTCACGCAGCCATTCTGCCCCCAGAACCCTACCACATGCAGGTCCTGAAGACTTGTGAGCTGGACGATGCCACCGGTGCTGTCCGAGCCGTCACGAGATATTCCCTCAACGGGGAGGACGTGCTGCGGTACCAGTCCGACCACAACCGCTGGTTCTCGGAGCACCCGGCAGGCTGGCGAGTGGCGGAGTGCTGGAACCGTGAAGGGGAGACTTTCACTGTGTGGAACCTCATCCAGCCCCCGGATTGCAGGTTCTTTATCGAATCCGCTCTGCCTTTCATCGCTCAGAAGACAGGTGACAGCTTTGCCAGTGCTCCTCACTCCCAATCCGCAGTCCCCTGCTATCCTGTTACCTGTGACTAATAACCCTTTCTCACTCTCCCCCCCAGCCCAGCCCACAGTGCGTGTGGCCCTTGTCCCAGGGACCCAGGACCGGCCACGCCGCCTCGTCTGCCACGTGACGGGGTTCTATCCCCGCAACATCGAGGTGATCTGGGAGCGGGGGGGCCAGGTGGTCCATGGGGAGCAGCTGACCAGTGGCATCCTGCCCAACGGGGACCTAACCTTCCAGATCCAGGTGTCCATCGAGCTGGGGCAGGAGGGGGTTGGCCCTGCAGAACATGTGTGTGTGGTGAGACACAGCAGCCTGGGGCGCGACCCGCTAAGGGTGACCTGGGGTGAGTATGTGGGGGGAGAGCATGGGGAACAGTGGGGAGAAGCTGGAAATGGGGCACCTCCTACTGAGGGAAGGGGAATGGGGGAGGTGGACACAAAGGGTAGGGGGGAGGGGTGGGTGGAAAATGCAAAGAGGGAGTTTTGGGGGGCACCAGGGGATGGGTAGACAGAGAGAGGTACTAAGGGGAGGTGGAGAGAAGAAGTCTTTTGAGGGGCTCAGAGGGGAGGGGAAGAAGAGAAGGGATACTGAGGGCCTAACAGACCGGGAGGGGGAGGCAGAAAGAAGGATATCTAGTTGCAGGGCAGACACAAGGAGGGTGGTGACTGGTGGGGCAAACTGGCTGTGGGAGGGGTGATGCTAGCCCAGGGTTATTGGGCAGGGAGCGAGTGGGGAGCAGGGGTGCAGGAGCTTCGGTGGGCCCATGGCTCAGTCTGTCTCGGGGAATTTCCAGATCCCCAGGTCACAGGGCAGGCTGGTGTGCCGGCGATCATTGCTGGGTGCATCCTCGCTGCCTTGGGAGTCGTGGCCCTGGGCTGGTACCTGATGAGGAGGCCAGGTGAGTGATGCCCCCTGCACAGTGCTCCCTTCTAAGCTCCTGTCCCTCTCCCTGCAGCAAGGCTCCCCCTAGCACTGCCCTGGGGCCAGCATGAACCAGGAGGGGATGGTGCCCCCTGCTGAGTCCCCATCCTGCACTATGAGCCTGGCCCTGCTTAGCATGAGATTGCAGGGCCTCTGTGCTGAGCCCTGGATGGACATAGGGGTAATGGCTGTGGGAAGTTGCCCCAGCTGTGATCCCCATTGCCCCCCTCACACACCTTCGCTGCAGGGGGTCAGGACCAAGCCCCAGATGGCAGAGTCTCAAGATGAGTGAATTCCTGCTTTGGCTTCCCCTGCAGGGGCCCAGAAGGGGCCATATCGCCCGGCACAGACACAGCCAGGGACTCTCGACTCTGCTCCAGCCACAGCTAAGCCAGCAGGAAACTCCTTGTTCACAGCATCTTCTTGCCCAGATGCCACCGAGTGACCAGACTCAGAGCCGACTGTGCCAGGGCCATCGGATTTGACTGGAGCTACATGGAGCATCCCTGGTGAAGGGGATGTGCTGGGGGATCACATATCGCTCATTTAATGGATCAAGTACTTCTACTGCTCGCTTCTGTTCAAATGCTTAGTCATGTTCCCACAGCATATCTCTGTCAGCTTGCTTCCTGAGCGACACACCAGTTCCAGCCATCTTGGCTCCCCTGCCGGTTCCACCAAGCTGCCTTCAGTTTCACTGCTACTCCACCTTGGCAGGCTCATGCATTTTAAAAGTTTCCTTCTTTATCCACCATAAAACCTTTGAGTAATTTGTAACCATTTTTGACCAAACCCCACTGACTGCATGTGACGATGTGACGCAGCAGAGAGGGGGGAGTGTTGACCTGGGAATGTGCCCTGGTGATGGGAGACCTGAGAGCCTGTCACCTGAGCCAGGAGGGGGAGGGGAGGGGGAGGTAACACCTCTGCCCAGGAATGTGAACAGAGGCTGCAGAAGAGAGCCTGCTGGGGGGGAGTTAGTTTCGGTTGGTGCTGGGTGGAGGAACGCAGGGAACCCCAGGACTGGGGTCTAAGCTCCCTGCTCCCCCAGAAGGACTTGACTGAGGGGTCCTGGTTGTACCCACAACCTCTGTTTTGGACTGTGTTCCTGTTGTCCAATAAACCTTCTGTTTTACTGGCTGGCTGAGAGTCTCAGTGAATCCCAGGAAGAGGGGTGCCGGGCCTGGACTCCCGCACACTCCGTGACACTGCAGACTGGTGAAATTTTACACTTGGCATGTTAATCAACTAAATATTGTGAAACAATATTTTCAATAAAAAGAAAAGGAGGACTTGTGGCACCTTAGAGACTAACCAATTTATTTGAGCATGACCTTTCGTGAGCTACAGCTCACTTCATCGGATGCATTTATCTGATGAAGTGAGCTGTAGCTCACGAAAGCTTATGCTCAAATAAATTTGTTAGTCTCTAAGGTGCCACAAGTACTCCTTTTCTTTTTGCGAATACAGACTAACACAGCTGCTACTCTGAAATCTTTAAAAATAGAGATAGATAACATCCAATGTGTTGGATCACAATTCACTTTGTTATTGGTGCAGGGGTACTAAAGGGTTGTTATCCTTGTTGTGTGAATCAAGGGCAGCAGAACTGTGCGTGGCGTTCCCTGTGTGACACTCTGTACCTCAAAGTACTATGGAACCCCTATATTCACACTGTCATATAATTATGGTATGTGTCATACAAAGTATTCCTTGTGAGGTATCATTTCAAAAGTCTTGATCTGTTGAACATTAACATCTTGTTGGATTGTGTGTGCTATCATTGTGTGTGGAGTTATGAAGCATTGCTGTCACTGAAATATGTTGGAGGTTGGGAACACCCACAGCCAGCCTTTCAGTTACAACAAAGGAGTAGCCATCACTGGCCAGATGGGTGTTAATGGCTCATCAACACCCAATTCACTCTCCCAGAGTCTTCTCAGAGAAGGCATGTATGCCATGGGGGTGAACTAACCCAAATCACAGAAAAGATCTTTCCAGCAAGCTGGAAGAAGGTATAAAAGAGGGAGAATGACATCATCACTTGGCCTCTCTCTCTCCCTCCACTCCCATCTCAGCACCTGGAAGCATGTCTGGAAGACAAAGACTTTGAACTGGGGAAGTTTGGTCCCAGGTTGGAAGGATGTCCTAGCCTGTGTATTGAGGGAATGTAACCTGCTTGTACCATCTGTTAGGGTGCTTGGTTCAAATCTTGATTAGGGCATGGCTACACTGGAAACTTCAAAGCGCTGTCGCGGGAGCACTCCCGCAGCAGCGCTTTGAAGTGTAAGTGTGGTTGCGTGTGATGCATCTGAAGAAGTGGGTTTTTTACCCACGAAAGCTTATCATAGAATCATAGAATATCAGGGTTGGAAGGGACCCCAGAAGGTCATCTAGTCCAACCCCCTGCTCGAAGCAGGACCAGTTCCCAGTTAAATCATCCCAGCCAGGGCTTTGTCAAGCCTGACCTTAAAAACCTCTAAGGAAGGAGATTCTACCACCTCCCTAGGTAACGCATTCCAGTGTTTCACCACCCTCTTAGTGAAAAAGTTTTTCCTAATATCCAATCTAAACCTCCCCCACTGCAACTTGAGACCATTACTCCTCGTTCTGTCATCTGCTACCATTGAGAACAGTCTAGAGCCATCCTCTTTGGAACCCCCTTTCAGGTAGTTGAAAGCAGCTATCAAATCCCCCCTCATTCTTCTCTTCTGCAGGCTAAACAATCCCAGCTCCCTCAGCCTCTCCTCATAAATCATGTGTTCCAGACCCCTAATCATTTTTGTTGCCCTTCGCTGGACTCTCTCCAATTTATCCACATCCTTCTTGAAGTGTGGGGCCCAAAACTGGACACAGTACTCCAGATGAGGCCTCACCAATGTCGAATAGAGGGGAACGATCACGTCCCTCGATCTGCTCGCTATGCCCCTACTTATACATCCCAAAATGCCATTGGATTTCTTGGCAACAAGGGCACACTGCTGACTCATATCCAGCTTCTCGTCCACTGTCACCCCTAGGTCCTTTTCCGCAGAACTGCTGCCTAGCCATTCGGTCCCTAGTCTGTAGCTGTGCATTGGGTTCTTCCGTCCTAAGTGCAGGACCCTGCACTTATCCTTATTGAACCTCATCAGATTTCTGCCCAAATAAATCTGTTAGTCTTTAAGGTGCCACCGGACTCCTTGTTGTTTTTGTGGATACAGGCTAACACGGCTACCCCCGATACTAAAAGAGTGTGTTTTCATTAAAGTGCCTGGGGAAATCTCAGCTCAGGTTACAAAGGCTGGTGCATGTCCACTTCCTTTGACGAAGTGGTGAACTAGGTAATGAACTTACCCTGGCCAGGCCTCTGACCAATGCAAGATGGGACAGTTCTGGGGTGCAAGACTGGTGAGCTGGGGGAAACTGGCTGAAGCCTCTTTATTAATGGTTCATGAATGGCTGGGGATCATTCATGTACCTCAGCTGGGTGTGTCCCTGCCTGTGGATGGCTGTGTAAGTGCAGGGCCTGCCAGAGGCTTGCAGCCTGAAATCAGCATCACAGTGTGAGAGGCAGCCCAGGCTGGTGGGTTTGGAGGGCTCAGCAGTCCCACAGTCCAGGCTGCACCCCGGGGACCCCGTCACACCCCTGACTAAGGACTCAATCTCAGCAAAACTGCACTCGTTAGGCAGGCGACATGGGTGCCAAAGCTCAGTGGAGTTGAGAGAGGGTGTGGACAAGTACTTGTACCTGGTGGTGTGGGTCCTCCCTAAGGGTGCTAGACATCATTTGACCCTTCCTGTTTCCACTGTATAATAACAGAGCTGATTGAGACTCAAGGGAGAGTCTTGTTGCAGACCAATAGAGCTGAAATCACTGATAACCAGGCCTAAGCATTAGACCTGCTTTGGGACAGTGTCTCTGATGCAAGAGACTTCTCAGCCTGCACTAGCCATGAGACTTCCCCACTAACAGCTGAAATCACTGAGAGCTGTGTTACGTGGTGGGACATCAATACATCCCAGAGGGTGCAGAGCAAAGCAGAGTGGTGAGTAGCTGTCAGGACAACTGAGGGAGGGATCAGCACAGCAGCTGGCGAAGTGGTGAGTGGCCGGCAGGGCGGACGGTGGAGCGGAGTGCAGCGGCGATCGACCAGCAGGCTGGCTGGTGGAGCACAGAGGTGAGTGGATGGCAGGGGAGCCGGCGGAGCAGAGCATTGAGCAGCCAGCAGGGTGGCTAATACTGGAGCCAGCCCCTGGACAGCTGAGGAAGCAAGGTCCCCCCTGCCGCCAGGGTAGGAGGAGGACTCTGCAGAGGCACCTCTGAACTCTGCGTCTTCACTGACCGAGGACAACAACTGTGAGTGGGGTGCAGTGGAGGAAGAAGAGAGGGACACGTTAAAGGAACTTTTGGTTGCTGGACTTATGAACTGGAGGCAAAAGGACACTGCCCAACGTACTCTAGGGTGGGTGTTTTGCTCATGGTTTTATGCTTACAACTCCTGCTTGCAGCATTTTCCCAAGTTAATGCTGAGTTATCTTCCCCCTTTTTATTAAAAGTTTCTTTTCTACACTCAGACTCTGTTCTTGCAAAAGGGGAAATATTGCCTCTATAGGCAACCAATGGGTGGTGTGTAATTGTACATCCCAATTGTTTGTCTCACTCTATAAATTTCAGGGTATCTTGCCTTATCCTTTTGTGTGGCCTAGGGGACAGAAGAGACTCCTGCTGCTGACTGAGCTGCTCCTTGCCACTGGACACTCATATGTAAATGTACCTGTCGCCAGGGCGCTAGGACTGTGCCTTGAAGGCAATACGCTGGCCGAGTGCCTTTGTCACCAAACCATGCTTGTGGTCCTTCTGTATGAGCAGCAGCGAAGTCTGCTGAATGATCAGGCTGCACTATCTGCTATTAGGGTTGCCAACATTGTCTTTCAAAAATAAGGGACTGTTTTCTTGGCACCCCCTGTTCCACCCCTCCTCCTGATATCATTATTAATAATAATACTAAGCAGGACTCACCTACATTTGCCAGGAGTGTTTCTTGTTGCTTTTTGCAGCACTGACGGTGGTCTTGGTTGACAGGACCAGGCTCCGTACCTGTCTGGCTCCCCCCGGTGCAGCTGCAGCAGCCACCAACCAGCAGTGATGCTCCTGTGCTGGGGTCGTAGGCAGAGCCTCTGCGAGCGGGGAGGCTGGGTCTTGGGAGTACCCACCCCCCTGCCAGACAGATCCCCTTCCTGACCCTGGCCCTTCAGGGCAGCTCCAGGGCACACAGACCCCGTTCACTTTTCCTGCCAGAAAGAACCTGGGCCGGGAAAGCACATGGGGCTGCACTCAAAGGCTTGCACATGGCCCCATCTGCTTTCCCTGCGCAGCCCTGAAGGGTCCAGAGGGGAGTGGGAAGATGCACCCATGGGTACTGGCTCTCTGCTGCTGAAATGCAGGATAAGGGCTGTACCAGCCGGGGCGGGCCAATCACTGTGGGCACAGGAGGCCACGCCCCCTCTCCCTTGCTGCACGTGCTCCAAGCGGAGAACGCCTATAAAAGGAGGCAGCCCAGGCCAGGGGAGAGCGGGAGTGCGCTGTTGGCCCCTGCAGAGCCCCTGGTGGTAAAGCCCGGGGACCTGGACTGCCTGGCAGGCGACCCGCCAACTGCGGAGACCACCGTGGAAGCCGAGCCGCTGGCGATGAGGAAGCTGCCGAAACTACACCCCGGCCCCTAGAGTCGTTAGGCCTATAGACTGATTGTTCGCTTGCCTCAACCCGCCCCGGGGCTGCAGCCTGCTTGTTGCTTCGCCCTGACCTGGGGGCTAATTTCCCAGACTGACTGCTTTGCCGCCCCCGCCAGGAGGCTGCGGGGCCACAGGCTCTTTGATTGTTTTGCCTCTCAGAATCCAGGGGCTATCTGTTTAGGTGCCCCCGGCTGGGGGCCGGGCCACACTTGGCAGAAATCACCCACTTAACGGGGAAGCCTGACGACCGAGTGGCGGAGTGGGCCACTCCCATACTGGTGTCACAGAGCGTGGGGGAGTCAGGGCCCTGCACCCCCACTTCCTGCGATTCCCCGTGACTCTCAGCCAACCAGTAAAATGGAAGGTTTATTGGATGACAGGAACACAGTCCCAAACAGCTTGTAGGAACAACCGGGACCC